CTCTACCAAACCCAACCCCCCCCCATATTTAAAGTAGTTACGTGATAACGCATTAGACACACCTTAACTAAAATGACAGGTTCCAGATTTACAGTTTTCAAATAATATCGGCAATACTAACATATTTTTCAGATTTAAAAAAATCTAACTGAATTGTTGTATTATTTTTGACAAGCCTTTTATATATTTTTATGATTAAAATAACTCTAACAATCGCATTGTTGGTGTTATCTTTACAGCTTTTTTGACAATTAAAAAGCAATTTGAATATTTTTTGAGCCATTTCAAATATAGGTGTCTATAATACAAATTATAAAGTCGATCAAAAAAATCATTGTTATATCGCATGTTTTACACGTATTGCACAATTTATAAAAAGTTTCAGCGTTACCAAAAGAAATTGAGTCGGTATCACAAACTCAAATTTTCTTTTCCCTATTTCTGTGCAACCTGGGGTGAAAACTTTGAAATTTCAAACTTAGATTAACTTATCTAAAAGAATTCAATGTTTGAAATCAAAGGTCTACATTACGAGAAAATATCAGTTTGTGGCTAAGATTCAATTCCTTTCCTAATTTTAAAAAATTGAAAAAAGAGAAAAAGTTGTAATCTCTGTTGTCTTCTTGTTTGATTGTATGTCCGATCATAACTCATGAAACCCTTGACCGATTTGCCTCCTTAGTTTCTTGGTAAAATCGATTAAATGAGGGTAGACGGCGGGAGTAACTATGTGTAACCTCGGCAACGCTGGGTTTCAAAGCTAATATTTATGTATATTTTTAATAACTTTATTCTGATACAGGTTTGGACGCAATGTAATAATGATTTAAAGCAATATGTCGTGAAGGTTTGAGGTCTAGATATTAACTGAAAAGTGTAGTTTAAATCTTGAATTAAAGCTTGAACTATCCATCTTGTCCGAGACGAAAACAAACAAAAGAACGAACAAGAAACAGGAAGAAAAAAATTATCATTTTACACAAAACCTTCAGAATCGAAATATATTTAATCATTTCTTTAAATGTTTCTTAAGAGTTTCTGTAAAATTTTAATCAGTTATTTCAATAATTAAATATTTTAATCTAAAATTCCGACTTAATAAGACATGGATATTTTTGGAATAAGTTTGAAAATACAACAAAGAAATGTACAGGGTGAGTTAAAATGAGTGTGAATTACAGCGTTTGTTGCAAAATTATAACTTTTTGTGCAAAAATATTTTTTGAAAAGATCATCGAAACTTTTCTCTTAAAATCGAAAGTTGAGGAAAGCAAATATGTGTCTAATATTTCTATCAAATTCTAAAATTTTATAAACATTGAATCACACAATCACAGAAAATTCGCAATTTTCAGTTCTGTTCTAACTGTTAAGGTAGGTTGTTTTTCAATCACATATATTTATAACTTTAGAATATAATATGAAGAGATAAATTAGAGGCAAAGTGTTTCCAAAACAATGGAGAGTATTTTGAATGAATTTAACATGTGAATTGTGCATTTATAGTTTACGGAAGTTTTTTTCGGATTTATTTTAAATATCTAACAAGTTTTAAAACCAATGTTTATAAAATTTTAGAATTTAAAAGAAATAATATTTGCTTTTCTGAACTTTTGATTTTAAGACAAAAAAGTTTTGTTTTGGGCCATTGAAGTTCCCCCAAAAAAGTTTCAAAAAATATTGAAAAAATACCATACAGGAGAGTCGTACAAAAAAAGGTACAATTTTGCACCAGACGCTGCTAATCACTCGTTTTTTAGACTCACCCTGTATATACAAATAAATTTCTGTAACACAATAAAAAATTTGCATGCAATTAGCCAGAAACGGTTATGGCTGGCTGTTCGGCCGAAAAAATTCTACCCAGTGGATAGAGGTAAAACGGTCTCCATCGATTCATAATCTATTTAAGTTTTAGCAAACACTACTGCTTGGTAATTTTAGATCATATGTCATCAATTTAGTTTCATTCATTACGCAAAGATATTAAAAAGCTAAAGTTAAATTAATTAAATCGTAAAATTTTTTTAATTAAATCATCATTGACCAAACATGATTAGAAATTATTAGTAAGAACTGAACACGCGCCACAAACTCTGATTTTCTAAAACCCTATATCTATATCTATATCTATATCTATATCTAAAACCCTACATCTCTGTAACATAATGAAAACCTTTGTACAGACTCAAACATACAAATAGTTCTACGACATAGGGTTGCAAAGTTTAGGGATTAAAAAATTAGAATTGGATGGCGTGGAAATTTATTATTTAATTGTTTATTTCTCTGAGGACTCCTTTTAATTATACCATAAAGCTCTTTGTTAATATAAGTATATCTCTTATATGTTAGCTATAGCTGGCCGAACGTCTGAAACAAATTGACAAATTTATTTTCAGAAAAAAAAACATTTGACTAAGTCAATAAAAATATCTGATTTTTCAAGTAAAAAATTCCCAAAAGTTTTTTTTTAAATTCTACGGTCAACGTCGGGCACTTCATATACATAGTAATATATATCAATGTCTATTCTTGAAACTAGAAACCTGAGAGCTTGTATTCAACTTTACATAAACTGCCTTCAACTGAACGTCCTTTAAATAATCTACTGGCAACATTTACTAAAAACAGGATGCATGCACGAAATCACAAATATGCAATGCGTCTTTCAAGAAAATAAAGGATTCAAAAGTAATCTCAGTTAGCACCTTTTAATTGTTTTTAATTTTTAGAAAACCGAGTTAAAAAAAGAGAGAGAATTGGTGGAAAACATTTCTTTAAAAAACTATTTATATTCATAAGAAAATGTTAAAAATGACGACACAGAAAAATAAGAGAGAGCTTATTAGATTTTTAACATTTAAAACTAATCCCGATATTCTCTCCTTTAAATTAAGTGAACAATCACTTTAATGCTTTTCGTCTTTCTTTCTTTTTTCTTGATATTCAGCTTTTCAATGACAAAAGTAGATTTCAAACTAGTTTCAAATTTTAATTACATTTAATTCACATAAAAATTAAAAATTAATGAAAAGGTTGAACACATCCCGAAAAAATGTATGGTTTTAATTACATTTTTTTTAGGAGTTCTGGCATCACGAATGATTCAAAATATACAAATTTTATTTTAACTTTTCTAAATCATAATTAGAGTTAATGATAATAATTAAAAACAAACTAAGGCAAACTCGCCCCAGTCTTTAAATGGATGTAAAATTTTGATATCTATAAACTACACTTCTCAACCAATCTTCTCCAGCAGGCTTCCACCTCAAACATCTTTTTAGTTTTTGATATCTGGCCGTAAAAGACAAATCAATGATAAAAAGTACGTACTTCTATTTATATACTTTGCTTGGGACCTCACGTGACCCCAGGGAAGTTTTATGGATGATCGAATTTTCAAAAATTTGCTTCAAACAACATTCGATTAAAAATAAAATTTTGAAACTCCACGAATTTTTTTTTACAAAGTACACAATGAGAACATATTCACACATAAAAGCCTAGTTTTGTAAAATGTCATAAATGGGAATTTGTAACTTAGTGAAGTACCTAAAATCATACATAAACTAAGAAGTTACCTCTCAAATATACCTACAACCAGCTTTGCATCTATAGTAAAGCAGTGGTTCTAGTATCTGAACCTATAATTTAGATGTAACAACTGTATTCGTCCGCCTAAGCTTTATTTGTATATAAATCTTCTATATATTTAGAAATATGTTTATTTATGATATATATGTATAATTTATGTGGTCATATATTTAGAAATATGTTTATTTATGATATGTATGTATAACTTATCTTGTCATATATTTAGAAATATGTTTATTTATGATAAAGGAATTGAGTCTTTGCCACAAACTCGGATTTTTAAATCCCAATTTCTTTAAAACCAAATATCCCAGACCCTAGATATTTCAAACTATGAATTCTGGTGGATCAAACAATGTAAGTTTGAAATATGAAAGGTTTGCATCAGTTGGTTGTTGAGATTTTGGTACTAAAAAATTGGAATTTGTGACAAAAACTCAATTCCTTTGAATTGTGGAACATATATTTGAAAAGATTTTTCTATAAATTTAACACCAGCGGGGATTATATTTAATATAAATTTTCAAATTTGAACTTTCATTTCAAATATCTAAAGAATCTACCACCATACTGCAGTCTGCAATAGCAGTGACAATACCTTATCGCAAAGTATAACTTTACAACACATATATTATGTATATTGGTGTAAACATAGATTACAGATATTTCTTTCTAGGAGACTATTGAAGCAAGTTCTAAGCTTTTCATTAGATTTCTTTCTAATTTATGCAAAAATGACCTTAACACAGTTCTTGGCAGAATTTTAGTTTTAAATTGCAAATGATTATTCTGTATATCCTTCAGATCTTAGTAAAATGTTGTTAAGAAACAATGAAATATTTTGATGTCTGGACCATGCATGGAAAGTACAAGAACTTTTAAATACAAGAACGAATAATTTATATATTAAAGGATTCTATGATTACGTAATAACTGAAATGTAATGAGTAATGATCAATGTCGCCTATTTATTTGTGCATAATTTTGCATATTTTTCTTTTTTCTTTTATAAAACTATAAATTCAAAAACAAATTTAAACTACACCATTTATATATGTATTTATATCTTTGTGTGTGAATAAATCTTTATAATATAATATAATTATCAAATGTTACATTTGGTATATCTTTCTTATAAATTTAAAATTCGGTGATTTTGAAGAACCAAACCTCTGTAGAGTAAAAAAAAGTAGATGTTAGTTCCACACTTATTGAAAATATATTTATAATTATTTTCAATAAATGTGGAACTAACATCTACTTTTTTACTCTACAGAGGTTTGGTTCATCACCATTACCGAATTTTAAATCTACCTGAACCCTGATGGATCCTATAAATTACTTATAAAGTAAATACTCGAGGTTTGGTCAGAACTGCAACATACATAAATTCTCTTTCTTATTAACTTTATTTAATTTTTTTGGCAAAAACAATATTTATAAAAAAAGCTAAAAAGAAATCATGAAGTAAAGATATTACTGAAAAGTGCAATAAGGTTTAAAGTATTTATTTTCAATTTCCTTTCGTGAATGCATAAAATGTGAATACAAGGTTGATCTTCTACTGAAGATTGCAATGAGATTATACTTTTCTTTAAGTTTATGCATTTTCATTATTTATCATATTTCTTGCTCTTTACTACAGAATATACTAAAGGAATTGTATTTATCATATTCCTTGCTCTTTACTACAGAATATACTAAAGGAATTGTATTTATCATATTTCTTGCTCTTTACTACAGAATATTATAAAGGAATTGTATTTATCATATTCCTTGCTCTTTACTACAGAATATACTAAAGGAATTGTATTTATCATATTCCTTGCTCTTTACTACAGAATATAATAAAGGAATTGTATTTATCATATTCCTTGCTCTTTACTATAAAAAATAATAAAGGAATTGTATTTATCATATTCCTTGCTCTTTACTATAAAAAATAATAAAGGAATTGTATTTATCATATTCCTTGCTCTTTACTATAAAAAATAATTAAGGAATTGTATTTATCATATTCCTTGCTCTTTATTACAGAAAATAAAAAAAAACCTTGAGTTTTATAGCTGCAACAATTGATATTTTGTGTTAATCCATCAATTGTGCTTGAAAATAAATGATGCATTTTCGCAACTCTTTCGGTAAAATTTGGCTTTCGTTATTAAAAATTCTGTATTTTTCGTTTAATTTTCATTTTTTTTTTGCATAATTTTCCATTTTTTCGCGAAATGTTTGTAGTTATTCGCAAATTTTTTGCATTATTATTTTTTGCGAAAATTTCGCATTTTCTATTTTGCCAAAATTTCGCATTTTTTGCGAGCGAACGAAATGCGAAAATTAAGCGAAATGGTCGGGAAATTTTTTTTCGCATTTTTGCGAAACAATTTTTCCTTTTCGCTGGAAACTCTAAATATAACTACATTTGAATATTATTCAAGATTCAAAGGAAATATGCGAAAATCTTTGTTAGAGTTTCTCATGCACACAAAACCAACGGCCTTTTTTAAAACAGAAAATGTTGATAAACGTTGGCAGCCTATACAAGGAACACGTAGTTGTATTATAAGATCATTAAATTATATATATCATAGTGAAATTCATAATTTTGTTAAATTAATTAATTTATTACTTTGTTATTTGGATTATATGTTGGTTTGTTGATTTATTAGTTTTTGATACGTTGATTTGTTGATTTGTTGGTATGTTGATTTGTTGATTTGTTGATTTGTTGATTTGTTGATTTGTTGATTTGTTGATTTGTTGATTTGTTGATTTGTTGATTTGTTGATTTGTTGATTTATCTGTTATGATGCCTATAAGAAACCAATAAAGCACTCAACTGCAAGTTCCACTTTCTGAACACAATCATAACATTTCATTCATTAAACCAATCAGAGGAGGGTAAAGGGACTGTAGACAAAATTAAACCAATCAGAGGAGGTTAAAGAGACTGTAGACAAAATTAAACCAATCAGAGGAGGTTAAAGAGACTGTAGACAAAATTAAACCAATCAGAGGAGGGTTAAGAGACTGTAGACAAAATTAAACCAATCAGAGGAGGTTAAAGAGACTGTAGACAAAATTAAACCAATCAAAGGAGGTTAAAGGGACTGTAGACAAAATTAAACCAATCAAAGGAGGTTAAAGGAACTGTAGACAAAATTAAACCAATCAGAGGAGGTTAAAGGAACTGTAGACAAAATTAAACCAATCAGAGGAGGGTAAAGGGACTGTAGACAAAATTAAACCAATCAGAGGAGGTTAAAGAGACTGTAGACAAAATTAAACAATCAGAGGAGGTTAAAGAGACTGTAGACAAAATTAAACCAATGAGAGGAGGTTAAAGAGACTGTAGACAAAATTAAACCAATCAGAAAGGTTAAAGAGACTGTAGGCAAAATTAAACCAATCAGAGGAGGGTAAAGGGACTGTAGACAAAATTAAATTAAACCAATAAGTGGAGGTTTAAGGGACTGCTGTAGAAAAAATTAAACCAATCAGAGGAGGTTAAAGGAACTGTAGACAAAATTAAACCAATCAGAGGAGGTTAAAGGGACTGTAGACAAAATTAAACCAATCAGAGGAGGGTAAAGGAACTGTAGACAAAATTAAACCAATCAGAGGAGGCTATTTATTTATTTTCGCAAATACTGAGATTTACGTAAAAAAGTATAAAACCCATTAAAAATTGTCAAGACGACATTTGATAAGTTCTTCCGATGTATGGTTCATTTAGAGTTTAACTGTAGAAAAACAAGCATATATTCAAGGTAATAAGGCCAGGAAAGTTAATTGCGGTTGCGTATTCTCTGTGTACATATTGAAACCAGTTTTCTCTGGGTGGTATTTGTAAACAAAAATAGATGCATCAGTGTTCATTTTGTATCCGAGGAGGATAAAAGCATTAAATTTTGATAATTTCGAAAATTCACATAAGAGTTTTCTATGACTAGAAAATGTCATTGATTTTTTATG